TGAATTACTTACATGTTTTTATAACCAATGCATATAACAATACTTAAATAAAACTGTAATGTAAATGCAAAAATGTAAAAATGGGAATGCAAACTGTGCAATACAACAACAAACATAAAAGTACGAATTCAATGAAAATGCAAATATGCAAAATGAAAATGCATGTATGAAAAAGGTGTTACTCAAGAGTGATCATCTTAAAACAGATTTCATTGAACACAAAAGTTTCGATACATCAAACAAAACTTTTACATGTAGGGGATAACTTTCACTCCTAACTTCTCTATTTCCCTTAAAAGCCAAATTAACTTCCACTCATGCTCAGGTGTGGAATTGTCAATCTGCTTTAATTCTCTTGTGAAGCTAGCTAAGTCTACCAGCTTATGAGCCATATTGTTTGTTTGAACAACAACTTCCTTCATGATATTGTCTTTTTCCTTCATCTCCTATGTTAATTCTCAAAGTTGTAAACAATGTTGTTCATTTTTTCTTGTGAGAGAATCTTTATGTTCAAGAAGTTCTCGTACAAGATCTCCATAATCATCTAAATATTTCTTTAATGTATTGTTCTTGGCTCTAGTGGCTTTTAATTCAGTATCAATCTCATGCTAATGGATCTGATATGATGCTTCCATGTTGATCATAGAACTATTCAACATTTGATTTTTGGCTTGACATTTTCCAAATTCAATGACAGTTGTATTGTGTATTTCTTCTACAACTCGTAAATCTTGAGAAAACTTATTGGCTCGTCTTTCATGTATGTTGTAGTTCTTTTTCAATTTGGTGACCCTTGTTATCCATTCTTCTGGAGTATTCCCTATACCAACATTTTTAAAGGCTTGACTGAATTTTTGGAAATCACCATGCATGGTTTCCATTTTGGTGCTCAATTTATTGTTTTCAATCTTTAAATGATGCATTTGAGCCCCGGACCTCAGCAAATATTATTCCTTCTGGACGCCCCTACTGATACTCTTACCTTTGAACACTTTTGGTATTAATCTAGCAGGACCTTCAATTACCAAACTAAGTAGATCATTTATCATAAACTCTAAGATTCCATGATCCAAAAGACTTTGGATTCGATGTTTGAAGGTAAGACAGTTCTCAATGGTATGTCCTTGAGCTCCGGCATGATATTCATAATAAACATTGATGTCATACCAATTTGGATACGGAGGTTACAACGGTTTCACATAATGAGGAGACGTTTCTCGTGCTTCAAGTAGATTCTCATACAACTCCTCATATGATATAGGGATAACATCGAAATGAGAACCACTTTTTGTCCTGGATTGAACCCAAGTTTTAGACTTCGGGAGTAGACTAAACCTCGAATTGGTTTCTCCAGTTGTCACTATTTCTTGGGTATCTCCAGACAACTTGTGAATACGAATGCTGACTATCTGTAATTTCTCAAATTGGTTAGGATCAGAAGTCCCTTGCATATATGAAATTGCAGGGTTATATTCATTGAACTCTCTCTCTTTTTGTGCAAAAAACTCTTTTCCTTTGGCTAAAACAGATATTCTACCCATCATTTTGGACATTTACTCTCTTATTTCTCGTATCTATTTTTTCTCTTCAACGGGCATACGATCTTTGAGTGCATAGTTCTCTTCTATCCTTGGAATTTCTTCAGGATGCATTTCCTTAGCTGCGTCATAGTTTGCTTGATCATAAAGTTTTTTGTCCATTTATGAAAACTTTCCAATTTGATGTCAACTCTCAAATTAACACCTTCTGGTTATGCCATGATCATGTAATGCAAGCAAAGGAAATTAATGTAAACAAGTTAGAGCAAAATAAAATGTATAAAAAAATACAAAATAAAAATAAGAAAAAATAAAATGGTTAGTACCAATTAATGGAAAGAAAAGATCCTTTCTATCATGGTATAAAAATCCTAACCTCATGCTTTCTAGTTCAATGGTTTGTTTGGAAAAATAAAAATAAGAAAAAATAAAATGTTTGTCTTATATCGGGTGAATTTATAGGGTTTATTATATGCAGGGTTTCAGTTCTAGGGATAAAGGTACTTGAATTGTCCTTGTTGGTGCCCCATTGTCTGTCAAACCCTCAATCCTAGTCCATTTTAAACTTAAGAGGATCGAGTTCAATTCGAGGGGACACATTTCTCTATGCCTGACACGGAGAATAAATTCTCACGAAGACATAGAGCATATGAACCCCAAAAGTTACTTGCTAGGTCTGACACGGAGAATAAATTCTCACGAAGACGTCGCTTTGACTCCCACTTAAAAGGGCAAGAGCTCAATTATAGAGCTTATGTTTATGTAATGCAAGTGTTGCGTGTGAGGAGAAATTTTTACACAAAAATTAATATCTAAAAGGCAATTAAATACAAATATTAATATACAAGAGTATAAAATAAATTGAAAGAAATCAAAAGAATCATAAATTAAATAAAATTGAATTCTTAATTAATTATAGAGACAATATATAATCGACTTAGGTTTGACTAGGGTCCCCAGCGGAGTCGCCAAGCTGTCGTAACTGGCTTTCGACCGGGTACGAAATTTCCTTGGCGGAAAAAATATGTGAATAAATAAATGGTTTTTATTGAAATATTTTGGGAGTCGCCATTAGCCTTTTGGGTTAGGTAGGTCGAATACCTAAAAATCATCTTTTAAAATAGTTTTTTAAAAAATACCATTTTAAAAGAGTAAATGGTCTGCGTTTAACCAAAAATTCATTCTTTTTAGTAATAAAAAGGGATTTGTGGTCAGTTTTGTTTGGGGAAGGATTAGCACCCCCACAACACCCAAAATTGGTACCCATTGATTATAAATTGTCTCTATTAGTGAACTTTTAGAATTCAAATATGAATTTAATTTATGATTCTATTATTCCAGATTCAATTAGATAATTCTAAGGAAAAATAATTTTTATAAAACTAAAGTAAATATTTATATTTTTAGGGTTTTATAAAAAATGTATTTATTTATTTAAAATATCTGAAAAGGACATCTAGTTACTTTAAGACAACCCATTTCTTTGATATTAAAAAACAAATAAACATTAATAAGAATATGATAAAATAATTTAAATAAAAATGAAGTGTATATATATATATATAAACAAGATATTTGTTTATTTTTAAAATACCAGAATAAGAAATCTAGTTATTTTAAGACCGCCCTTTCCGAGTATTTAAAAATAAATAATTATTATTATTTAATCAAATTATGAAATTATTATATTGTATTTCATATAAATATTAGTGAATAAAACATAAATAATAACAAAAAATAAATAATTAAAGTACTAATTTAAACAAATTGAAAAATATGTTTCAATAATAAAAATAGAATAAAATTGCATTAAATAATGACTAAAATAAAAGAAATTAAAAATGTGGAATTAAATTGTAAAATATATAAAATTCATGGTAAAAATGAAAGTAGTTAAAATATGAGTGATTAAAATATAAAATATTATATAAATGTGGCAGTGACTAAATTATAAAGAAAATAAAATTAAACGGCCGAATTAAAACTTACAGAAATTGATTTCAGTGAACAACATGGAAGTTTACAAACTTAATGGACTGCAGACATGGTTTTCCCTTGAGGGAAATTACACAGACACCCTCCCCAAAACGACGTCGTTCGGGGAGGGGTATAAATACCCATTTAATCGGCCCCTTTGGGCCTAAACTCTCATTTCTCTCTTTTGGTTCTCTCTCTAACGAGAGAACCTCTACCGTCTCTCTCTATGTTTCTCTTGTCGGAGAGAAACTGATCATCGGCCGGCCGCCTTCCTCCGGCGCTGGCAGCCACCGCCGGCCACCACCCACGATGGCCGAAAATTACAAACCTACCCCAAAATGTAGCCCCGTTTGTCCTAAACCCAAATATGAAATTATTTTAGCCTAAAACACTACCAAACAACGTAGATCTAGCCTTTTTACCTTCAATATTTGGGTTCTCCGATGATGCGTGGTAAGTTTCCTCTCAGTTTCTTCTCTCTTTGATTTCGATTTGCTGCTGTGGGTTTATTTTTTTCGCTGCTATTGGTTCCTCCTTCTTTTCTCCTTTCTTTCTTCTTTGCAGGTTCAGTGACCTATTTATAGGCCACCACGTACACCCTTCGGACCGGATAATGAGGCGGTCTTCGGTGAGTCACCAAACTATGGTGGTGACTCACCATAGAACTTCGACGTGGGTGGTGACGTGACACTTATGGAGGCTTCGACGGGGAGTGGCAAAAGCTGGTTGAGGCACCTGGCAGTGGAGGAGTCGGAAATGGCAGCAGAGGCGACGCCGCGTGGTCCCTAGGGTATCATAACCCTAGGGTTTCTTGTTGGAGAACTCTGGACCATTGGATCTTACCAGATCGAACAGTGGATGGTTGATGGCGGCTGGGTGCTGAGATGCAAACCCTAGAAAGGTTCTGCTGTGCCTGGACCGGGTTGGGCCTCTAGGTCTGATGTAATTAGGTCGGGTTTGTAAATGGGCCTCAGTTTACTGTTGGGCTTTGTAATTATTTGTAATTAATAATAATAATAAGAATAAGAATAAGAATAATAATATTTATAATAATAATAAAAATAAAAATAAAAATCGAAACAAAAATTTAGTGTCTACATAATTATTTTTCATTTTAAATTACTTCGACTAATAAAATCACTTAGTTTAAAGCAAACAAATGGAAGTTTTATTTTAGGGTCACTCTCGTGATCCTATTATCACAATCGGGATTTATCGGATCAATTTCGGATCTTACATTTAATTCATTCAGATCTAATTTAATCATTGATCCACATTTTTATTTAATAATTTTTATTATATCACTATTTACTCATGTTTTCATCTTTTGCATAGTGTACAGTTAATTATGTATTCTTGAACAAGTTGACAAAGGGATGAATGATACATAGGTTTGGTGTATTTAAAGCAATGATTGTATGAACAACGAGCGTGTATTACAATGGAGCTTACAGCATTTAAAGATGCCTCTCTGGTCTTTTATCTTCAAGATCGGCAGATTTTCACTCGGAAATTAAACAGTCGGTTGAGCACGGAGGCTAGGCGAATCCCAGCTTGAGCTAGCCTTTTCTCCACGACGGGCAACCGAGAGAGGAAATAATCATCTATGGAGCAAAATTATGAAGTTTGTGTTAAAAGAATATCATGCAGAATTTATGTTAAGATTAGCTAATCTGGTTTCTTATAGCATTATCTCAGCCTTTGCCAACCATGGCAGATTGCATAAAAATATAAGATACGGCATCAAATAGTGAAGTACAGATGATATAATAGAAGGTATAAGGGTCAATAGTTCGGTCATGTTTAAGCCAATTAATAGAGCCAAGAGCAATTCGGCTATTTATATGCAACAAGTTTGGACTTGGATCCAGTGTTACCTAATTCGCCCCACTCCACGAATCTCGTTTAAATTTGTTTATTCCAATTCGGAGTTCATTCGCGGACTAAAACAATGAAATTAACATATCCACAACTCAACACAGCAACAACAAAGGAAACAAAAACCTATCATAGCAAAAGCAAAGGAAACAAAGATAGGGGAAGAGTTCACTAGGAGAAGGTGTGGAAGGAGAGGTAATAAAGATGTGTAAGGGTCGATCTTTCCAAGCCTTAGCGGTGGAGTCGACAATTTTCTCTTAGTTAATATTCTGGGGAATGAAAAGAATGGAAAATAAGGAAAGAGCAAAATGTAGAAAGAGAAAGAGAAAAATAAAGTTGAGATGTTACGATTGTACTCTCACTGTAAAAGATATCTATTTTAATTATAAATTTAATCTTTTAATTTCACAATTATTAAAATAATTATTAAAAAGTTATTATATTTTCACTGTTTAATATATGGGCAAATTATGAAAAAATTTATCAGCAAATCATAAAAATGTATCATTACGAGTCATACTCTGAAAATTGTTCCAAAGAAAATTATTCTCAACGAACCACAAATAATACCTATCTTTCATTATTTGAAAATTATATGCAACGAACCAAAGCGAACTACGAATGCTTATCCATTTTCATTATTTGATTTTGATACATAAATTAAGTTTCATAAAGTGCCTTTAATCATCGAACAAGAAAACAGTAGAAAGAGGAAATAACAAATACCTTCTAAGGTGCTTCCAGGTGTGGCATTCTTATATGCATACTTGCATGCTAACCTAACACTTTCAGAAGCATATCTGTATATCGAAGCAAATCAAGAATAATACGAAGTTATTCAGATTCGAGTGTAAGTGTTAGATACAAGTATAAATATGAATAACACACTTTATATAATAAAGAATAAACTGAGGCATACACTTACATGTTAGGACAAACTGCGTTGTTATGTATGCAATATTCCCATGATGATTTTTCATTGGACCAAGCATCCTATAAATGAAATAATAGGTACAGCAGTCAAGTATCACTTTCAAAAGTCAAAACCCAAACCGGTAAAAAAAAAAAAAAGCGCTTCGATTGTCTTACAGTAATATTCCTTTGTATAGCTTGAATCATGGATAAAAGATCCGAGTCATAGAACGTCTTCACCGCAGTATCAATAATCATGGTATCCCAAACCTGGAATAACGTATATCATAAAATTGCGAATATGGATACAATAACACACATAAATATAAACACTCTCATACAGAAGTTTATAAACACCTTTTTTACCCAAATCCCTTCTTTGGCCACCTTGTTAAAAATGAATATGTAACGTTTTTTTTATTGTATAACTATCGGTATTCGATCTATCAGTCGACTAATTCAGATTGGATGCTGCATAGGCGAGGGTGACCCTCCTCCGATCCAGCTTTCTCCATTTGTAAATGGTAGAATTCTAACTTTTGACCTTACTTAAGGAATCTAATGTATCTCACTATACTAACCTGTTGTCGGTAGAAAGGATATGTAACATTGGTCAGGGAACTTGTTTACTAGATTCAAACACTTGCACTCAGATCATGTTTAAAAGATCAAATTATTTTAAAATAAAATATAAGGACTAAATCTCGAATTTGGACATAGTAGAAAGACAAAATCATTGCTTAACCATTAATTTCATTTAGCAACATTTAACTACTTGTCGATGTGAAAAATGGAAAGGGCGTAACGATGTCCTCACATGGTGTAGATTCGTCTTCCTACGATACCAACGAACTTTAATACTAGTCCCACCTAAATCTCCTGTGAAGCCAACATGTAAAGGCTGTAATAAAAAAAAGAACTTATAAATGTATTGAATATAAATATATATATCCAATATTTATATGATTAATGCTTTCTAGATTTTTCCATATATGTGATCTGAGTAAAAACCTGATGGACATCCGCCATGTAATGAGCTAAGAACATGAGTGACTCTGTCAAATTGTCTGTCACAAACAGAAAGGGAGAGCATATAATAAACCATGTATTATTATTTAAGGTAATTCCAGGAGTACATACAGGTACGGAGCCATGTTATATATGGGAGGGACAATTGTCCCTCCCAAACTTTGATGGTCTCATTATTTTTTAAGCCACTAGTAGTTTTAAAATCATTGCAACTAAACTCTTGTCCTTCCCAAAATTCTTTAATATAATTGATGTTTAAGACTTTTTAATATTTTGAAGTTAAAAAACTTGTCTCCTTATAGTTCAATCTCGGTCCGTCTGAGTATATACATGAACAGTGCTTACATTTCAACACGGGATTATATCTCTTATATGCTGAAAAGAGTTGTCTTGTATAGTTGAAAATTGCTCCTGTTACGCAATTATTTTTGCGCCCAGCAGAATCATAGCAGTCTCCTACAAGAAAGGTTAATTAATGTCGCCACGACCACTCATTTCTCTTAAAATATTTAGGGTTAACTATATGATTATTCACTTTTTTTCATTAATTTCAAAAAAAAATTAATATATGGTCAATTTTGTTTAGTTAAGATATGATCATCACGGATTATTTGTAATTAATAGTTAACATATTAGTTGACATGACAATTAAATGTTTAAAACAATTAAAGCGAATAATGAGGAGGTGTGTCCGAAAACGAGTTGGCAGGTGAAGTTATTCGAGCCTTATTTTCAGAGGGAGGTTGCTTTGATCGTTGTCTCTAACAAAAGGAAGCTGTTTGAGTACTCATCTGATTCCAGGGTGGAAAATATCTCTGCTTGGAAACGTGATTCAGCAACAGGAAGATCCTGACGATATAAAGCAGAATATCAGAAAGTTTTCTCACCCACACCAAGTGTTTGCATTTTTTGTCGCATACAAAAGATGGAGTAACTTTAGCATAGAAGAAACTGTTATGGAGGGGAAGGAAGGCGAAACATCAACTTTGTTTGCTCATAATATTCCTCCGACATACCATTGGAGAGGATTGAGACAACTTTTTGGTAAGCACGAAGATGTGGTGAGCTCATTCATAGCGAGGAAGGATGATAGAGCAGGGAAGCGTTTTGGTTTTGTCAGCTTCTCCAACAGAAACGATGCAGATAGAGAAACTCTTAGGTTAAATGGTTTATGGATTCTTGGATACAGGTTAACAGTCAAAGAAGCTAGGTACAGAGCTAAGAGCCATAGCAGGAAATTGTATAAGTCATCAGCTTCTAGAGTTGTATCTTCGGCAGAACAAGAAAAAAATAGAATATCTGGAGCTAGCACGAAGGAGTTAGCAATGAGGAGAAGTAAAATTGTGCAGGGGGAGGTAGATGAGAACGCGGTACGAAGGCTTCAAAAATGCTTGGTAGGGACGATGGCGATGGTTTGTTCTTCGAGTCAAGTGGATGACAGATTACGGGCTGGAGGTCTAGGAGAATTAAGAACTAAATTTCTAGGAGGGAGAGATTTCTTAATAGAGATTGAGGACGAAGAGCTACACAAGTTTCTGAAGGAGCATAGATGGTCGTATCTTAAGGAAGTTTTCTTGGATGTACAACCTTGGACAAAATCGTATAGACCGCATCAAAGAGTAACTTGGATCAAATTATTCGGAGTGCCGCTACATTGTTGGAACCATGTCACGTTTAAGAGGATAGCGGAACAATGGGGTGATTTCTTAGCGATGGGAGAAAATGCTTTGCAAGAAATGGACTGCGACGAGGTGACCATTCTTATTGCTACAAACAGGAAAGAAACCATTGACGATGTTCTCGATTTGGAAGTGGGTCGAGATTTAATTAAAGTTAGAATTATTGAATAGGTTATAGGTAACAGTGTTACAATGATTCGAAAGCGAGATGTAAAAGAGTGTGTTATGGCCGGTGTTTCTCAGTCTTCGTCAGGAAAAAACAGGACTTCATCGGAGGAAGATACCACAGAAAGGGTGCTTGAGGAAGGCGAAATCCAATTAAGATGTATGGGAAATATATCCGGAGGCGATTGCTTGTCGGGTAAGGACATGGGGGAAAGGAATATTGGAGAAGAAGCAATTTTGGGGTTGAGAACAAATGATGATAGTAGTGGGAATGCGCAGAAGAAAATTCATGTTGAGATGGAAAACGTTGAGAGAGTCGAAGTTAATGACACAAAGTATTTAAATGATCAATTATGTATCAATGAGGCAGAAGATGCCAGCAAGAAATTATTAAAGACTGCTCGTGTTAATAAGGAATTAAAGGATAGTTTAACAGATTTGAATATATGGGAAGGTCGATTAGAGTCAAAGGCGGTGGAGGATGTGGTAACTATGGGCTTCATAAGCAATTGTGCTATCAAAAGTTTCAAGGGAGAGGAAGTCCAACATGACGGGGTTGTGGAAGACCGGGTGGATGGAAAGACCTTACCGGGGATAGATAGGGAGGATATAGATCACAGACTTTGCTTGTCAACTCAACTGAGGGAGGATATTTTAATGCACAATTCCAGGCAGAACCAGAGAGCTAAGGAGTGAAAAAACAAAAAATATAGTTCTCTTAAGAGAATCCAAGAGAAATTCAAAGATAACCAAAGGAAAAGTAGAAATTGCCGAATTAAGAGAAATCAAAAGAAAGTGCAATGCGAGAAAGAATTGACTGAACTTGAGGGCATATCCCTATCTGACTCTGACTTGCAAACAAGATGACAGAGACAAAAGAGGGAAGCGAAAGAAACATTACAGATCGGCATAGAAATGGGGATATAGTTTAAAATATCAGAATAGGTTTTGGTTCGGGAGATTATAGCAATGGAAGAATTAGAAGCTGAGTCTCACTCTCTATCTATTGAATTTTAGTTGGGATCAGAGGAAGTAGTTCGAGATTAGGAACTTATTCTGGAACATAAGAGGTATGGACTCAAATGTTAAACTTCTGATCAGAGGAGGTTTTTAGTGAAACTATTATAGTGAGATTTTGGTGTGATGATGTTTTTGACTTTAGATTATTGTAAGCAGTGGCTAAAGCTGAGAGTCTACTGTCTGAGTGGGATTATAGTCGTTTTTAGTGGGAGGGTTCTGCTAGTTCCACTTGTTTGTTAGATTCAAAATTTGAAGACTTAGAGATCTTAGTTTTCAGGGGTTATGATTTTGGTTGCTTTCTAGTTTTATCTACCCATTCTTGTGGCTTTGAGTGGAAGCTCCTATTTGCTTCAGGGGAATCTATGTATGGTTTTTCAGTTCAATCTCTGATAAGCTGTTATGTGGTGGATTTGATCAATAGCAGAAGTTCTTCGAGCGTTTGGTTGGCTTCAATTATTTGGATGTTCCAATGGTGAAATCATTTTTAACTTGTAGTGTTTGTTGGAAAGTTCTTGTTCATTCTTTAAGCTCGGATTTTTAAAGTATAAGCTTGACTTGGGGTTGAGAAATAGTTGATCTGGTTGGTTAATTCCGTTTTTTATCCCATAAGGTTTTGAAGATTGAGTTGCTGGGCGAGTGAGTATTAATATTATTACTATCAAAGTAGTATTGAGTGTGGTTGGCTGCTGGTTGTACAGGGTTATGTTTGTTTTGCAATTAGATTGTCTAGTGTTGTTGTTGAGTTGTCTTGGTCTGTTCCGTTGAGTTGTTTATGAGTTTTCTTGTGGCTGGTTGTTTGTTGATTGGGTAGTGAGGAGCTTTGTTTGTGAAGTGTTCGTGGCAATAGCGGGCATGTATCAAAAATCCCGTTTCAAACTTTGGTGTTGATGGTAATTGAGAGCTGGTTTAAATCAGGTGCTGCTATATTCAAGTTGGATGTTTGATGGTCGCGGTGGAAAACTTCTATATTGTTCGTTACTATCTTTTTGTTTCTATGGTAGGCATTTACATGGACGCTCAATGTTGGGAGCAAACAGCCAGTTTAGATGGTTGTTGTTAGGGTGTTTTCTGTTATTTGTCGTTCTTTCTTTCGAGTGATAGTTGGTCTATGTGTGTGGTTTTGGTCCTAATCGTCAGTACTCTTTTCCTCCACCTAGTTTAGGGAGGTTTTTAACGAGACTTAGGATTTAGGCAAACAATTTATTCTTTAATAAAAATTTATTGCTGAGCAAAAAAAAGACATGACAATTAAATATTTTGATATAATCACATACTTGATCCTTGTTATTTACATATTTTCTCAATTTAGTCATATTTTTAGTAAATTAAAATAAATTTAATCCTCCGCTCAAATGATGCTAAAGACCAAAGAGATTCAAACTTGGGTCTCTTGAAAAACCAAGCATGTACACAACCGTTGAGCCACCAATGTTTGGTTTGATATAGACAACATGATATATATATTTTGTATCTTAGTGTATAAATATTTAACTTAAATTCATAATATTTATACATATTAACTATAAAAAATATTTTTATATTAACTTATGAAATATTTTATTATTAACTTAATTTAAAAGTATTTCATTTTTATTTTAATTTAAAAATATGTATTTTATGTTAAAAATATTTTTAAATTAAGATAAAAATAAAATATATTTAATAATTTAAAGTGATAATATTAATATAGTTAGTAAATTAAGATAAAATATATCCTTTTGAAAAGTTAAAATAATAATAATAAAATATTTAAAAAAAAGTTTAGATAAGAATAAAATATATATTTTTAAATAAAATATTTTTAAATTAAGTTAATAATAAAATATATTTAATAAGTTAATATTAAGTTAAATATTTATACACTAAGATACAAAATATATACGTCATATTTTATATATTAGATCAAGCATTGATTTTGACTTGATGGTTGGGTACAAGCTCAGTTTTTCAAGAGACTAAATGTATGATTATACTAAAATATTTAATTACCACATCACCTACTTTGTTAACTATTAACTAAAGTTAACTCGTGATGACCACATCTTAATTAGATAAAAACGAAAGTGATCATGTATTATGTTTTTTAAAATCAATAAGAAAGGTGGACAAAACACAAATATAAGTGATTAATGGCCAAAACATAAGTGATCAATCTTATTTCGAGGAGAACTGAAACACTTACGGATGTATTTATAGTTACACTTGAAATTAGGGGTGTCAACATAGTGTAAGGAGGATGTCCACTGCCAGTTGTAGTACAATTTGATGTCATCAGGCCAAGAACATACAGATGCAAGCTCACCTTTAGCAGAATCTGGGAGCAGGTCTTTGACTGTCGCCATAGCATCTTCAGTGAGATGCCCCTGAAGGATCAAGAAGCGCATAATCAGATGAAATCGGCAGCAACTTTTAACTAAAGAAGAAGCAGTTGCATAATCAGACCTCAGCGATCTTGCAAACAGCATAATGACCAAGTTTTCCCCAACCATGAACCAATTGCATAAGAAGAAGCAGCCTTCCCAACCATAGTAGCTCGTGCCAACCCATCCTGCAAATGATAAGAAAGAGAAGAATAGTCGTAATTTTCCATTCTGATTTATGTTTGAAGAAAAGGGACGACACCAATTATACCGCAAAGTATATTGTAGTTTGATAAAGGGGGGAAAAGTGAAACCCTCGACTCAGGTTTTCACCTTTGCATGTGATGCAAGCAAGCGTGCCTTGCCTTCTCTTCTTTCCTCTCTTTTAAAGCATACACATATTTGATATGCAAATTTTTATTGATTTACGCCAATACTATCACCACAAAGCAACTTTGTAGTAGCGTAAAAGAACCTATCAAACTGTCTACTACTGAATTCGAAATTACTATGGGACATGTGCACGTAAATATATAGAAATATATTTTCGATACAAAATAGTTTATATTGAGATTGTCTTAACAAATATAATTCTAAAACACCAAAAATTAGTGTCACTACATTCAATTCTAAAGATATAAATCTGTTATCACGTAATTTGTTCATGTCCTTTTTTTCAAATAATCTAAAGTAATTATAAGTAATAATATTTATTCCACAGACTCAGAATGCTTAAATATCTTGTAATCGTTAATTCTTAAACCAGAGACATTTAGAGATAAAAACACCCCTTCGACAACTAAAGACATTTGTTTCGTGCAATCTTCTCAATTTAACTTTAATTAAATTATTTAACGTTCATTCAACTTTTATGTTATTTAATCTACGACATTGACATTAATGTCCTTTTATGCTATTCATTTATCGGATTCCTAGGGTAAATTACGTGTTTAGTATCTAAATTATCAATTTTGATATGTTTTAATACTTACACATTTAACTTTTTCAAAACTATACTTAACGTTTAGTTTTCCTTTTATTTTAGAACACTGCCGTTAAAAACTTAGTGCGTTTAGTACCTAAACTATTAGTTTTGATCTATTTTAGCACCCAAACTTTCATTTTTTTAAAACATTTATCGTTAAATTTTGAAGGGGTACTAAAATGAAAAAAACTTATATTTTTAATGACAGGATACTAAAATGAAACAAAAAAACTAAACTTTAGGTATGGTTTTGAAAAATAATTAAAATTTTAGGTACTAAAACGGACCAAAACTTATAGTTTATAATTAACCCGATTTTTTGAATATGTTATTCTTTTCGTGATTTATCACTTACATAGTGTTTGTATATATTCATAAAATTATTTAAAAAAACAAAATGAAAGTAAAGTATAAATAACACTTGTAATATCAAATTTTTTTCCGGCCTACCATTTGCAAGATTCAGATACTTTTATTGAAGTAAATTTTGAAGTTCAATACATCAGCTGACCTGCAATGAATATTTGGATGAGATTCGAACTTTTTCAAGACATGATGTCTTCTTTAAATATGACTGACTTTTAATTAATTTTCCAACGCATTTTGAAATGTCTCAATCGGACATCGAGAACACAATATATGCTTTTTTTAGCCAAGACTATGCATGCATAAAATTGAATATGTTTCAAATATTAGAATTTTAATTTATTATGAATTTCAAACTTTCCATTATTTATTTAGAGTTTAATATTTTATTATTATTATTTTCTTTTAATTGGTTTATCTAACATTATTGAAAAAATATTAGGGTTTTCTTTTAGGTTTTTTAGGTATATAAATAGGTACTCCCCTACTGTAATTTTAGGGGGAGAAAGGAGAAAAAAGATAAAATATTGAAGAGTCAGACAAATCATTGCAATTCCAATAATAAAGGCAATATAAGAGAAATTTTCATTGAAGATATTTTCTTTTTTTATATATTTTTTTTATATTTTTATTATTTTGGCCGATCTCGACGTTGTATTATTTGAAAAATTCATCCGGTGAAAGAAAATTGATGAACAAGAAAATGATTATCGAATATAATTTCTTACATCTAACCTTATTTAAGATTTCACGATGAAAATCGTTGATTGATCTTAAAAGAAGAGAGAACTTTTTGACAATTTGTTTCAATATAGATTAAATCTTTTTTAATATTTATTTTAAGTTTTCTATACTAAAATTAATAACCTCAATTTTAATTACAATTTAACTTTTTTATTTGGTAAGCTAAGAAATCAAACAAAATGACTAAATGCCTCCTTCCTCATGGAGTAGTTCTTGGATTGCATGCAATGGCATATCGAACAGCTTTTGTCCTCCATCTCTACTTCTGTCCAGTCTTGCCATGCAATCAGCTATCCGGTTTCCTTCCCGATAGATATGTTCGAATTTAACCTCCCAATCTATCTTTAGTAGGCTCCATATATGATGATGCAGTGTGGTAGGTCTCTCCTTATTGTTACCTCGCTGGAACATTTTCCTCACCTCCATGTTGTCAGTTTCGAGGATTACCTTTCGAGCTCCCAAGATTCAAGCCCTATTTAATCCTTCATATACTCCCCATAGCTCCGCTTCCAAAATCGAGCAGCATCCAATATGTTTTGAAAATCCAACCAGTCATCGTCCTTCCTCATTGTGAATCACTCCCCCGCAGGTTGCGTTACCGTTTTGTGAGTTTCTGAAGCCATCAGTATTAAGCTTCAGCCAACCCTCAGGGGGTTTCTTCCATCTAGTTTCTCCACGCGTTACTGCATCAGTTTTCGGCTGGGCGGAACTAACTGAATGTTTGGCTTGGGTTAAGGATGAAACCAGTCGTTTGCTTCTTTCCAGTACGGAGTCGCCCTAAAAGCCATCTGGTTCAAAAGTTAACTTGCTCCTAAAATTCCAAAGATTCCAAATAATGGTTGCGAACAGGATATCTCAGTCTTCTCCATTAATTGCATACTGTTTCCTCGACTATATATTGTTTAATAACCATTCCTTCATGTTGATTGTGAGAAACTAGTTTAGCCATTCCTCCTTGATTAGCGACTTCCATAGGGCTTTGGCAACAATGCATTTACGTAGAATGTGATTGATGTCCTCCCATGCACTACCACATATGTAGCACCTGGATTCTGTGTCTAAGTGTCTTCTCACTCTCTCACTATTTGTTAGGAGAGCACCACACCCAACTAACCATAAGAACATTTTGACACGCGGTATACCCGTGTTTAGCTATCGAAGTCCATTCTCGTTCCTCAACATCCAATGCGTTGAGTAACCTTGAATTTTCTATCAGTGCTCCCACTCCACCCGGTTGTGTCCTCGTTGAATTCAGCTTTAGGGGATTTGATAGCCGCTATCCAAGCGAGTTTTTCATATGGTAAAAACTGCTCAAAGGCATCCCATCTCCATTCTCCATTATCCATTATCCATTATCCATTATCCATTATCCATTCTCGTCTACCATTGATGTGATAGTCCATTCTTGAAAAGTTCGATTGCTTATTGTCTTCCTGTAGTGGATCATCGGGCCTGCATCGTTGAGCCAAGGATCCTTCCAAAATTAGGGGCTAAGGAAATTAAATTAAGGGAGCACCGATTCAAAGAGGGTGGACACCGAGTTCGGTGCCCAATTTTTTAATTGAAAATTAAAATGGGGGAATTGCATTTTAATCCCTGCACACTATAGGGTATTTACAAGATTAGTCCTTAAGCTTCAACTATAAATACCCTAACTCATTCAGCTTCAAAATCATCCCAAATCATTTCTTTCTCCCAATACTAAATAGTTTAAAGAGTTTTCTTGTGAGTTGTGAGTGTTTTGTAAACACCTGTAAATTTTCTCTCTTTAGTAAAAGATTTACAGCAGTCCGGAGACGTAGGCAAAATTGGCTGAACTCTGCTATCAATTTCGGGTATTATTTTTCCGCTTTTATTTTGTATTCTCACTAATCTGGTTATAGGGAAATTACTCGTTTATTTCCCAACAACTGGTATCAAGAGCTTTTGGTGTTTAATTTTGTTTTTTCTGTGAGGTTACTATTTACATGAATAATGAATTTCGTTAATAGTAACATTTGGTCGGCGATACGAGTTTGTCGACGGATGTATTCTAATACATGGTGGTTCGCAAGAATTGTCAGAAACGATCCAAAAGAAGACAGATTCGAGTAGGAGCGATGGCTTTGAGAAACGAAGTTGATGAGCTCAAGAGGTAGCTGCTCATATGCAAGGGAGCAATGAGTGAATGCGATGCGCTCAAGACCTTCTTGGAAGGACTTAGACCAGGGGTGATGCTCGAGGGAGAGGAAAGTGATGCTCAGAGACTTTTGAAGGCCATACTGTAGTCGGAAAGCTGACTGAGCTTGCAGGTGACAAGCCAAGTAGCGATGTGTCGACCAGGCCCATGCCCAGAGATAATGGCAACAGTGGTGGAAACCGAGAAAAAGTGTAGCGGGGAAATGATAAAGAAAGCTCTTCGAATGGCCTAGGTGAGCCATCGACTGTTCGTAGCCAAGGAAAGCCATCGACAAAGAATGGCAAGGCTAAGTCCGGTGTAAAGAAGAAGGGGAGCAAGGAAAAATTAAAGTGCTACTTATGTGATGGTCCTTATCTGACTAGAGGATATCCCGAGAAGCGTCGCCTTACAGCCATCATGAATAGGATGGGAGAAGGAGAAGTATTAGGAATTGGTGCGGTTGTAAGTGTTAAAGTTGTCAAGCCAGGGAAAAGACATGGTTCGATTGAGGGGATCAATGTGGCCAAGCAAGGATCCAGACGAGGCAAGGCTGTTGATGCTGAAGCAACCGAAGCCAAAAGAAAGCCTGAGATTGCGAGTATCCAAGCAATCAAGATATGAGAAAGACTTGGTGAGGCTATATGTTCCAAAGTAGTTGAATCAAGGGGCAGGCATGGTGCGACTACAAGTTCTCAAGTAGTCAGCCCAGGATCAAAACGTGATGAGACTGTAGGTGTCAAAGCAGTCGAGCAACAAAAGGGACCAATGCGATAGAAAAAGATAAAGCCGTCAAGCCAAGGGTGCAGAGTGAGCAAGTCCGCTCATAGTATGCCAGGATGGAGGCGTGGTCCAAGTTGAGGCGTCTCATGCATAAATGGACACTTAAGGAGTACGAGAGCCGATTCAGAAGACTCATGCTCAAAGTCCCAAGTTTGACCGAAGA